GGGGGGAGGGCTCAACCTTTTTTTCTCACCAAACATCCAAGTTGCTAAATCTTTTTTAATTTTTAGGTCTAAATCACAGAGAAGTTGGTGACCTTGGTCCAGTGTATGGCTTTCAGTGGCGTCACTTTGGAGCTACATACGAGAACATGCATACAAACTATGATGGCCAAGGAGTGGATCAGTTGGCTAATGTGATTGACAAGATTAAAAATAACCCTGATGACAGGAGGATTATAATGTCAGCCTGGAATCCTGTCGGTAATTACAACAGAATAGTGCTATTTATGCATACTTGTATATAATCAATCCAAATTGAATTCAACTTGACTTCTTGGAAGGAAAGATAATGAAACTGTCAGGTTTGAAGGCTATGATTTTGATAAAATATTGTAAAAATACAAAGAAACAATAACCTTACTGAATGATAGATGTTTCTATAGGATACTTTTGATTATACCAAGACCTATTTCAAGTCCTCCACCCTGTCACTTACTGGATTTGTTCTTGGTTGCCCCTAGTTCAATTCCTCGGCTGCACTCTGTAAATAGCCCACTGGTCTGCCTCCTGCCAGTGGGGATTTTCAAGCACTTAGTCTACATTGTGACTGAAAAGTCCTTTCAACTTTCCAACCTTTTGAAACTTAACTAACACTGTGAAACCCAGCTTCAATTCCACATGCACTTTGGAAAACTAATAACTGTAATAAAATTGTTCTTCAATCAACAGATTTACCAAACATGGCTCTTCCACCATGTCACTCATTTGTTCAATTTTATGTCTGTAATGGAGAACTTTCCTGTCAGCTTTATCAAAGATCTGGGGACATGGTATGTCATCTACAAGGAATCAGTTGGGTGGTCACATTTATTTTGTGGTTGTTCTGTGTTCCTGCAAAGTGTTCATCAAATCTATTAAAAAGGCAAGAGCAGATTAAACCACAGAGTCTAGCTACCTAGCACTTTTACAAAATAGATTCACTGCAGAATAAAGTTTTTTTATGCCCTCTAGAATTAAGATCAAACATAACACCTAATTGAGAGCCAGAAGTTTAGCTACTAAACAAATGCCACAGGATAGGGAGAAAAACAATCTTTTAAGTGCATGTAATAATTGAAATTTTTAATTTTTTATTGCAGTGTCTTGGAGTAATCTTTAATCTTTTAAAAACTTATATGTGCTATTTCTATCACTATCCAATAATGCTTTAAAATAGTTTTAAAAATATCTCACAAAGAATTATCTTAAAAATGATTAAGATAAAGTAATTAATAAAATACCTAAGTTGTTAAGATTAGAATAAAAACTAAGAATAATAAAACCTCACAAACTAGCCAACTACCTATCTAAAAAACTAACCCACTAACTAACCAATAATAAATTTATATTTAACGAAAAAGCTTTCCTAAAAAGATGTGTTGAAAGATTTTGCTTAAATGGGTTTCCAGCGGCAGTGCATTCCATAGTTTAGCTGAGGCTACAGAAATGATCTTGAACCACAACATTCTGGTAAGTTTGTAATCAACATTAACCAAATTTTTGGTCATTAGTTGATCTTAAGTTGCATCTGGGCACATATTTTGTTACAAGATTACTGAGGTATGGTGGTGCTAAGCTGTTTAAGCATTTAAATGTCAATAGAATAATCTAAAAAAAAAACAGATAAACAAAAAAAGGAGTACCTTTAATACTGCTAGCCTAACTCCCTTGCACTTAAAAAAAAAAAAGATCTACTGCAGAATAAAGGGGGTTCTTTTACCCTCTAGTATTGTGATCAAACCTAATAACCAATTGAAAGCCAGAAGTTTAGTTACCAACAAATAGTATAGGATAGGGAGAAACAACCTTAAACTGCATGCATGCAATTTAATGTTTTATTTTCTTATTCTAGGGACTTGGAGTACCTTTTAATATTGCTAGCTATTCACTTTTGACCTACATGATTGCCCATGTCTGTGGCTTAAAGGTAAGTTCACACTGACATATTTTGGTTGCATTCTTTTTTTTTTTTTTTTCGATAACTATAATTTTCTGTCATTGAGAGTCAAGGCTGAGGAAAATTGAATGGAGCCCAGTGCTTTGAAACCGTGAAATCCAGGGTGCCCAACATATGCTTTGTATAAAAAAACTAAAATTCCCAAGTCACCCAAGAGCAAAAGTAAGGCGTCAGGGGCCACCGGGTGCTGTGAGAGCACAGCCTTGAGTGTCTTAAAAAAAGGCTTGTTTAAAACAGGATAAGGGGATGGTTTACTTTTTATGCCTAGAATCAAACATCTTGACCCTCAACAAATTTTGTATGAGGCTGAATGAAATTAAGGCAAGGTTAAAATCGAGGCACGCTGGTCAGCGGGAGTCATGCAATTGCAGGGTCACGTGGTGCTCAGTACGTTTTGAGATCATCTCAGATCTCGACATGAGCTGCTTGTTGTGTTCCCACCCTCC